TTGCATGTACGACGGCGACGATCATAAACACAATCTATGAAATGCTTGTGGTGAATCAAATAGAACAGGAGAAACAAGCTGGAAATATACCTTTTACGAGACACGCGATTAACGGTACAAAATCTCTCGTTCGAAAGAAACTCAGCGCGTTGAACGTTGAATTTTTGAAATCTCTGGGATTCATCGTACGAAACGATTGAGAAAGATGATTGACATTTTGAAAATTGAAAGTGAACCGGTCTTTGACGAGCGCATCGTCAAGATTGAGACACATACGTACAACCCATACGCTAATACAACGTTTGGATATAGCGACGAGATACGAATACCCATACAGCAGTAGGATTTATACATATTGCCATGCGAGAGTTATCTCTATGTCGAGGGGAAGGTGACGAAACAAGTTGCAGTCGATGGTGCAACTGTAACGTTGGGATATAATTGCGTTGCATTCATGTTTGATGAGATTCGTTATGAACTGGATGGTGTGGAGATTGATCGTAACAAAAACGTGGGAATAACTTCAACGCTCAAAAACTATGTATCGATGTCTTCGGACGAAAATGCTGTCATGAAAAATGCTGCGTGGGATGCGACTGACACTATTTCGCCGGATGGATACTTCAACTTTTGCGTACCACTCAGCGTGTTGCTAGGATTCTGTGAAGACTACAAGCGTATCGTGATTAACGCGCGTCACGAATTGATTCTATTACGATCGCGCAGCGACAACAACAGTCTACTAGGATCTTCAGCGTTGGATCCTAAGATTGAGCTATTCAAGATACAATGGCAAATGCCTCACGTAATCTTGAACGATATCAATAAACTTTCCATGCTGAAAACTTTGGAGAACGGACGATACCTGAATATGAGTTTCCGCTCGTGGGATCTGTATGAATTTCCTCTACTGCAAAGCACGACCAAACATCTGTGGACCATCAAAACTGCTACTAATCTAGAGAAGCCTCGATATGTTATCTTTGCGCTGCAGACTGGTCGGAAGAATGTAATGTCGGAAAATATAACTCGTTTCGATAACTGCAAATTGATCAATGTGAAGCTCTATTTGAATTCAGAGTGTTATCCGTACGATGACATGAATTTAGACTTTGCAAAAAATAAATGCGCCATACTTTACGATATGTATAGACGTTTTCGTAAATCGTATTATGGATGCGACAGTGCTGAGGTATGGTTAGCAATTACCGACTTTCGGCGGCTAGGTCCTTTCGTGGTTATCGATTGTTCGCGTCAAAATGAGTCCGTCAAGAGTGCCACTGTGGATGTGCGGATAGAATTTGAGTGTAAGGAGAATATACCGGTGAATACTACCGCATATTGTCTCATCCTGCATGATCGTGTAGTTGAATACAGCCCGCTAACCAACATAGTGCGCAAACTCAACTAACATCAGAAAGTATGTACGAGAAAAGTATAATACACGAAACAAAGTGCTATAAACGGCATTCTCTCCTAGACGTGTCGAAGAATATTTCGCCATGGATGCTCCGACATTTGTCGACTTGCAAGGATTCATGGTTGGAGAGAGATTTATTGTAAAAGAAGCGGCGATACTGAAGAACGGAACTATTCTTTCGTACTACATCTTCACGAGTCCGATGCCATGGCATCTGCTCATAAGATCGGACAAATCGAGGGCCTACTGGTTAACTGCTAATCATCATGGATTACGATGGGAAGATGGAACCGTCAAATACTCCAGAGCTAAACATCTGGTTACTGCAGCTGTGGCGGGTGATATGTATGACAAACTTGAAGACGATGCATCTCAATTTGTGTATGTGAAGGGACATGAGAAGCGGAAATGGTTGTTACAACTTCTGGATGACAATGCGAGAAGCAGCGTGATCATTAAGACCATGGACATCGATTACGACGATATGCCTTCCCTGCAAAAATTGAATAATATTGGGTGAGTGCAAAAGTTCGTGCGGAGTTTCAATAGATGGAGTTATAAGCGTCGTAAAGTGTTATCATTAATACTTCCATCTACATATTATATAACGTTGGAAAGGTGACGTCTTCAGCTGTTATTAAAAAAAAAATCATTTGTTTTCATACAAACTGCTTCGAGAAATATCACTTTAAAAATGAGTATCGATAAGGTGTATTTACGGCATGTTATGCTTTACGAGTTTCGGAAGGGAATAAACGTTGCCGCAGCCGTAAAAAACATTCAGGATGTTTATCAGGATGAAGCACCAGCTAAACGAAGTATGGAAAAATGGTTTGCTAAATTTCGGCGAGGAGAATTTAACCTTGAAGACGAGCCACGCTCTGGTCGACCTTCTGACATTGATGACGATGTTTTGCGTACTTTAGTGCTCAATAATCCGCGAATTTCAACAGAAGAAGTTGCTACAGCACTAAACGTTGACCGATCAACCGCTTTTCGGCGTTTAAAAAAGATGGGATTCGATTTGAAGCTCGATATATGGGTGCCCCATTTGCTGACCGAGAAGAACAAAATCAAGCGAATTTCTGCAGCCGTTTCTTTACTCGGGCGGCTCAATAACGAGTCGTTTTTGGATCGACTAGTGACGGGCGATGAGAAATGGGTCCTCTACAACAATGTTCAGCGCAAACGGACATGGAAACAATCAGGTGAGCATGGTGACGCAATGCCAAAGGCCAGTTTGCAACCGATGAAGGTGATGCTCTCTGTTTGGTGGGATTGCAAGGGCATAATCTATTTCGAGCTTCTCCCCGCTGGCGAAACGATTGATTCGGACAAGTACTGTCGCCAATTAACCAATCTGAATCGAGAAATAAAAGAGAAACGTCCGATTTTGTCAAATCGCAAGGGAGTCGTCTTTCATCACGACAACGCCAGACCACACGTTTCGAAAAAGACGCTGCGCAAACTGAAGAGCCTGAAATGGGATGTCTTAACGCATCCACCGTATTCTCCTGATATCGCACCATCTGACTATCACTTATTCCGGTCATTGCAAAATTATTTAAATGGAAAAAACTTTGACTCTTTGGAGGCCTTAAAAAACGGCGTCTCTTCGTTCTTCGAATCTAAACTGCGCAGTTTTTATGATCGAGGCATCCGTATGCTGCCAGAACGTTGGGAAAAGATTATAGAAAACGATGGAGAATATATCATTGATTGAATAAAGATTTTTGTTTGCCTAATCACTGTGTGACTTTTACTCACAAACTCCGCATGAACTTTTGCACTCACCCAATACTTTTCGATGTAATAATCATATGAAAAATTGTGCATTACAGAATGTACTAAATATTTTCAATTGGTGGTCTCGAAGAAAATTGTATGACACTATATAATAAATCTAATAATCATTATTTCAAATGTGCAGATGTTTCTTTCCCTTATCCCCTTTCTTAGAATTTTATATGGTAATTGCGTTGATAAAAGTATTTCTTTATTTGAGGTATGATGCTTATTAGACGTTCGAGAGATGTTCGATTGACGTTCAATAGATGTTCGATAGACGTTCGATAGACGTTCGATAGACGTTCGATAGACGTTCGATATGGCGCAGTAAACGAAGGGGATTTGAGTCTGACCTAGTTTCGACTTATTTTTTCTCTCATGACGTCATAATGCCCACTCTAAGAACCTTCACTAGACGTCTAATAGCAACAGGCGACGGTGATCTAGGAGCTTTGGAGCATAGGATAGTAACCGCGGGGCCCGGGTTCGAGTTTAGCAGTAATCTCGACAGTTTTTCTCTCGTGACGTCATCATGCCTACTTTAAGAACCTTTACTTAGACGTCTAATAGCAACAGGCAACGGTGGTCTAAGAGCTTTGGAGCATTGGGCAGTAACCGCGAGCGTTCGGGTTCGATTCTATCTACATTACAATACATTTTTTTTCTCGTGACGTATGCGTGACGTCACAGTCGCTATCCTGCGTGACGTCTCACCATGAGTTCTCCTTTCCCGCGCGACGTCATACCCCGCGCCATGAGTTCCCCGCTTCCCCGCGCCCCCCTCAGCGTTTCTGGGTTAGAACCGGCCTTACTATTCTACTCCCGAGTAAAGAAACGGCTGCAGAAATTCGCTTGATTTTGTTCTTCTCGGTCAGCAAATGGGGCATCCCTATATCGAGCTTCAAATCGAATCCCATCTTTTTTAAACGCCGAAAAGCGGTTGATCCGTCAACGTTTAGTGCTGTAGCAACTTCTTCTGTTGAAATTCGCGGATTATTGAGCACTAAAGTACGCAAAACATCGTCATCAATGTCAGAAGGTCGACCAGAGCGTGGCTCGTCTTCAAGGTTAAATTCTCCGCGCCGAAATTTAGCAAACCATTTTTCCACAGTTCGTTTAGCTGGTGCTTCATCCTGATAAACATCCTGAATGTTTTTTACGGCTGCGGCAACGTTTATTCCCTTCCGAAACTCGTAAAGCATAACATGCCGTAAATGCACCTTATCGATACTCATTTTTAAAGTGATATTTCTCGAAGCAGTTTGTATGAAAACAAATGATTTTTTTTTTAATAACAGCTGAAGACGTCACCTTTCCAACGTTATATAATATGTAGATGGAAGTATTAATGACAACACTTTACGACGCTTATAACTCCATCTATTGAAACTCCGCACGAACTTTTGCACTCACCCAATATATAATATCAAAGATGGAAGATTCTATAGAATTCATAATAGTTGGATATTCATATGGGGCATTAATTGCTATCGAGATAACGAGACTGTTGGAGGCGAAAAATTTCACAGGACAATTAATATTAATCGACGGCGCACCCGATTATTTGAAAACTATGAAAAAACAATATTTCCCTTTCACAAATCTTCAGAAATTTCAGAATAATATTCTCCTAGACCTCATGGATCACTTCTACTCCATCGATAATACATCGGTACGTTGTGTAAAGAGAGTTTATTGTTATAATGCAAGATATGTAATAATGATAATTGTTAATAGATTCTATTAAAATTGTCCAAACACGATACGTGGGAGAAAAAATGGAATGCTTTCGTTGAATGTCTTCCAGATGATTCCGTACAAATGACTTCTCTTGAAAATTACAAGATTTATTATACGACAGTCTATAAGCATCTGATCGCAATTCACGAGTACGATGCGTCTTTATTGCAGCCACTGAAGTCGCCTATATTGTTACTAAAACCCACAATTTCTTATCTTCCTTCTGCCGACGAAAATGATGGCTTGAGCAAGGTAATCTGAATACATTGACACATATCAATGGAGTTTCTAGTTTTGAAAATTGATTGACGGTCGACAATTAATAAAATTAATCGTTACTTAGGTTACCGAAAATAGCGTACAAGTCCGTCATGTCGAAGGCAATCATCTTACAATATTGAACAACGATATACTTGCTGATATTATTAACGGAGTATCGTCTTAAGTAGTTAATCTTTACAATGTTAAAGAAGTTCGTAATTCTGTAATTCGAAGATATCTTGGTTATATAGAAAGGAAAGGAGGATACATGGAACAGTTATTGTACGTAAATAAAACTAATATAGTACTCGTTCGTTTATTCACTGCACGTGATCAATAAAAGAATACAAATAATTTGTATCACCAAGATTGAAAAACGTTTAAATTCTGAAAAAGGATTGATTGCCTTTATTATGTCTTAATTCACGCCTTGCTTTAGGTAACTTCTTATTCTTATGCATGCATTTTACAGGGTATAAAAATAGTATACCGGTGAACCATGAGAAATAATAGGGAATACGTAAATAAGCAATATGAGATAGGAAACTATCATCGGAATAATATCGGAAAGGTAATTATTGTCGGAAATGCGTTATGAGATATAAGATGTAAGAAAAAATACCATTATTATACAATAGCTGTATGGTATATATATATCAGTCATTTCAACCCATGTAAATCAATTTGTTTTGATACAGAGAGAATTTGAGATGTCGTATTTAACTGTTAGTTTAAAAGTCGAGAAGTCTCTTAAGTACTTATTTAAGTTAAGCAGAAAAGTAATCACTTAAGTTAAGCAGAATGTAAACATATACACTGAATATATCCTTGTTCCTCACTGAATATATCCCATTGTTCAATGTTACAAAATTTAAAAATATTTAGCTAATTATGTGTTAATATTGCTGTACTTACAAGGAAGGTTAGAGAACACTAAAATTCAAAAAATTCTGAAACTTTGTATGGAAATAAAGTAGTTCATCCGTAATGCAAAACTATTTTTTGTTCGTGCGGAATTCCAGTTTGAGGGAATGAAACTATCCTTCGAAAGAAAAGACCATTTTTATTTTTAACATATATTTTTTAAAATACGAGGCATGTGCAAAAATGGTTTATATAAAAGTTGTAGTGTATTTCATACTCTTTGCAATTGTGTATTCAGATTTTGCAAAGTTGAAAAAATTTTTGAAATTCCCTCCCTCCTCCTCATTACTTTCAAAAATTTTTAAGTTGTTCTTTGGACAAAAATAAAGAGCATCGTATATCAAATTCATCCATATATAACAATAGAAACTAGAAGCGACTACATTTTTTAGAAATAGAGATAGTTACATAGAACTATAGGTGCCGCGTTGTAAATAAGCGTTTTTTAATTACGCTGTACTCGATGACTGTATCTGACACCGAGATCTGTTACCGACTGTAGTTGATATCTTCTCATATAAGATAAAAAGGACTTAATTCTAATGACATTGCAATATATTACATAAAATATAAACAAGAGCAGAGATTAATTTTTTGCTTATGTAAAAACAGTAACGTCCCAGACCGCACATATGTCCAAAACTGGGACATAAGACGTCTTTAAGATATCTTTAAGTCGTCTTTAAGATGTCTGAAAATAAGACATCTTTAAGTCGTCTTAAAGACGTCTTAAAGACGTCTTATGTCCCAGTTTTGGACATTGTGCTGTCTGGGGTATGTGTTAAGGGATAAAGATGCCGCGGATAAAGATATCTGTATGCTAACAAAAGCTTACCTTGCACCTTGAGATAATAATCTTGGTAAGATTTGAATGATATTCTTAAAATAAATATTATTTCAATATTGTTTATTTATCTGTTCTATATGTAGTATGCTATATGAATACCAATAATCACACAGCACTAGATAATTCATACGTCCTGCTACAACTTTGAAACAATAATGGAACGGTAAATTAACGTTTAACGATAAGTATGCAACAGTGTATAAATGCTAAAGAACGTAAAATCTTTTTTAATTATGAGGAGATTAGATGCAATAAAGTAAGAGAAATTGCTGTCTCAGAAATCGGGAAGATAGCGCAAACTGTGAGCAGACCTGTTATTATGCTCCAACAAAAAGTACCAAAATAAATAGTATATGTGAATTTAAAAAAACGCAAATGTTTCATTAATTTTGTTAAAAAAAATGCGATCACTATAATTAACTACATATTACTAGGTGCGCAACTAAGTTTCCGGGTTTTTTTGATCAATGGAAAATGGAAAATTTCAAGAGAAATATAAAAAATGGTTTATTCAAAGTATCGTCCCTCACTAGCTACACATTTTTGCCATTTCTCTGGCAATACATGAATACCGCGACAATAAAACGACGCGTCTTTGGACCGAAACCATTCATCCAACCAATTTTGCACTTCTTCGAAATTGGCCAGGTGTTGCCCAGCCAAGCCATGCGCCATCGACCGGAACAAGTGATAATCGGAAGGGGCCAAGTCTGGCAAATACGGCGAGTGCAGTGCAGATCCCATTTCAGCGTTTTGATGGTGTCCTGGACGATGGAAGTGCGATGGCACGGAGCGTTGTCGTGCTCCAATATTACTCGTTCGTGTCTCGTGTCCCATTCTGGCCGTTTTTCGAGCAATGCATGGTTCAAATTGATCAGTTGTTGTCGGTAGCCATTGACAGTTTCGCCCGGTTTCAGCAGTTCATAGTACACGATTCCTTTCTGGTGCCACCAAACGCAGAGCATTGTCTTCTTTCCGAAGCGATTTGGCCGTGCCGTCGATGTTGATGCTTCGCTAGGTGGAAGCCACGATTTTTTGCGTTTGGGATTCTCAAAATATATCACTATCGCTCTCTGTTTGCTTCTCCAATCACCGCGATCATCAATGATATGACGCAACGTTGATTTGTAACGCAATAGGCGATTTTTTTCTCTTCTGTCGAGCGGTACGTTACCTTTGAGCGTGTTGAAGGCGCACTCGCAAATACATCTGATGAAATCACGGTCAGCTTCTCGCAGAAAGGCAGCACGTTGTTTCTCCGTCAAGTAGCACAACGCCTTCAGAAGAGAGATGTTTTTCTCGCCGATGGACCGTTTTGCTGCGTTTGCGGTTCTATCGCCCTTTTTCGCATTCGCTCTGCTCCCCCCACTCACTACCATTACGGCGATAAGACTGTCGCAGAATGATCGTATGCATGGGTTTTATATGTAACTTCTGGTGGATCCACGCCGAACATAAACATAATGCGTAGTATCAGTGGGGAACATGCATGTACAAAACCGATACTCATCCGAGGTAGATTGTTTCAGATCGAGCAACAAATACCCATGTGGAAACGATGTAACGTCATAGTAAGCTTCTTCTAAAACTTTGAATCTTCCGGACATACCTGCCTGGCCAAGTGACGAATCTGAGCACGATCGCGAGGGTTTTTGAACACCACGATGTAATTCGTGTTGAGAGAAATATCTCGTTGTTCGCGTCCTTGATGAAATAGATTTTGCGAAATGAGTATAACACTGAGGTTTTTGTGATGACTACCCTTCGTGAACAGATCGACGATTACTTCGCACGATGACGATTCCCTCATGAGATCGTCTATTATCACCATTTTCGCGACAAGTGGATCGTTGGAATAATCATCCGGGCGCGATAAGCCTTCTCGAAATTCTATCACACATTGTCCCGATTTCGCCGCTTCATGCTGTAGTTGGCGGTAAGCCTCTTGCCACTCGGCATAATAAAATAGGATCCTGTTGAAACGTGTATCCGCCATCGCGCGTAAATAGCGAAAAGTCTTTACGAAACCGTTTTCTTACAACCCGTAGGGCCGCAAACGATCGATGTCCAAGGATGTTTCCAGCGCGCGTCCATTTTGCCAAATGACTGATTCGGTTACCTAGTGAAGCTACATAAATGCTGAAGAAAAGGAGAAACGGCGATGAGCTTATAACTCGCGCCGGGGACCCTTCCGCGGCGGCCACGCGGTCCCGCTAGCTCATATCCGCGGAAGCGCCACGTCGAATAAACTTTTTCACGTGGCGCTTGCGGCTGCGGGAATAGCTTATTTTAGCGCCGCTAGCGATATTAGCTTTGCGTGAAACTGTGAGCTAATAATCGTTCAATGAGCTCGTACGAGCGAACGCTTGTGGGTGAAAGAGACTGCTTCTAGCGATATAATTTGCTAAGATTTTATTGTGATTCAGGGGTCATATACAAGGATAGAAATACATATATATTTGTAAAAGAACTTATTTCTTCTTTATTTTGCAAAAGCTTTATTTTAATAGAATATATACATACAGTTTGCACAAAAGTTTCTTATAGAGCTAGTGCATACACGATATACAGGTTGGTCGCTTTTGGGGAAACGTCTATATTTATATTTTTCTTACTCTACAAATAAGTATTTAGATTTGGAAGAGAAAGAACACGCTCCACTACTATTCTTACACCACTACGTAATCGTATGGCACAGAGTGACCTGTGTCATCGAATCTACGTTTTAGGAGCACGGCACGCATGACTTGCTCTCGTCTTTCGTTACAATATCGTGAAACGCTGTACGACGAATTGCTCTAAAACGTAGATTTATCGAAGTTTTTCTCGCATCCTCCTTTTTCTCTTCCTCGTTCTCATCGATAGGTATTTTATTGGTGACTAATAAGTTTTTTATACTACTAAAATTGATATATTTCGAAGTCTCAAAGTTCAAGGTTATCCCCTTTACTTTGCAAACTTCATGGATTTTACCTTATGGAGTGCGAGCGACATAGGCATAACATTTTGGGCCTCCGGATACAAAGGATTCTATGTAGCTACCTTGACCATAACTTTCGAGTTCATCCGTCATATCGCCCAAGAAATTACTCGTAAGCGGCTCGTACTCGTTGGTGTCACCGGTGCTCAAATATATACATGAATCAGTATCATAATATAACACTCTACAATCTAAATTTTTTAAATAAGCATACAATTTCAAGCGTGCCTGTGCCGTCATATAGGCAGCTATTATGACGTTTGTAGTTGCAGAGGGAACAAGTACCTCTTGTCGTAATCGCCATGAGACGTAGAAAACCTCATCGTTCACGGGCAATATGTTTATGATTTCATGCTCGGGACTCGTGAGCAGCGACATGAAATGTTCATGCATCTTAACGACCTCGGTATTCGGCAGATTAGATCGCTGACCGAATTTACCCCAGAACGAATTGAGGCAAAGCTTTACAACCGAACGCAACCCTGAATTTACTGCGATGTTGTTTCTATCGAGAACAATACCCTCTGTTTTTTCGTATTCCCGTAGGTATCGCTCTTTGGCCTTTTCATCGTCGGTGCATTCAGCAGGCCATCCGCTAGCCTCCTACTTAAGTTGCAGAAAGCAGTTGATATATCCCGTGAACATATCTCCCAACCGAGTACTTGAGTCGTACTGCGAAATCTTATATTTCCATATCTCGCTCACGGAACTGACATTTTAGTCCTTCTCTATAGCCTTCCGTAATTCAGAGGATACCCAGATACCCTCGAATTCTCGATCGGCCGGATTATCATGTGTGCATGGAGATTGAGAAAATGTCTCGCAGCAACTACGGCATAGGGCGAACAATAATTTTCCGTGAACGCGAAATGGGAGTACAGGGTGAAGATCACGCGGAGCGAGCACTTTGCACTACACGATCCCCTCCACTCTGCTAAAGTCAAAATCTGGAGCTATACCAATCAAAGCGAAACATTCTTCGCCCACGTACACGTCCGTGACCGAGCGGAAAAGAGCCGTCCGTCTTTAGCACAAACGGGTACAAGGAGCATACGTCTACGTAACGTATCTTCTCCGTACCCGTAACATCGCACCAGGTGACGATGTTCCCTGTACAACCACCGAAAAACACCTCGCGAGGATCGAGAGGCTCACAAGGAGATGACGCCGATTAGAAAATCGTTTTTCGAACGAGTCATAATGCGTTCGATAGCTTGTATGTAGGTGATGAAAACTCTAGAGCCGTTCGTGCCAATGCGCCTTTGTTTAAGAGAATTTAAGAGACAAAGTTAGAGTCACGCAACTACGTCGCACATAAGCACTAACTTTACGACCTCTTTCGAGTAAGCGGCGTAGCTGAAGAGACTAAGGCTCCTACACATAGATTTTTGCACCGGCGCACAGTGGGTCAAATGGGTCTTTTCGTGGACAAAAATCGCTAGACGGCGTAATTCTTAACCGATTTCCATGCTTTTTTTTTCTTAATTTACTCGCGATGAATTGCTCTACAATCGTATCGAGCCCGTTTTTTAAATTAGGCCCTTAATTCAAAATGGCGGACGCGCAAATTTGTCAAACGTATAAAACCTGTAAAATGTCGAATATTTTTGGATCGGACAAAGTTTATACAGGCTTTTAAGGCCTCCGAGATACATATGTAAGATCGAAATTCTCAGTTTTTGCCAGTGGAGAGGATCTGCAGTGGCCCGATATATTTTATACCTGCCTGATATCCACACATTATCAATATATTCTACTAATGAGTTTGCGTATATGTATTGCATATATATATATAACATATATTGCTGAATTATTTATGAATTCCATAGTTTAACGTAAAATCCTGATATAGGTGACAGCATATCAAGTCAGTACTCAGATGAAAATAATGGATTAAAGTCAATTGTGTGAACTGGCTGTATTAATGATGGTAATACTTATATCCTTTTATTCTGACGATTTCGTCATGTGCTAAAATGTTTAGTATATTTTTGTCTTTATTGTAATTAAATAATATTTTACAATATTATTTTTTATAATTTTGTTATTTTTCATTGGCTACTTCTCGGGAGAAGCGCAAGAAACAAGCAATAAGATTTTTAGAAAATCTCGTGCCCAACATAGCAGAATGCAGTCGCGACGAACTAGTAATGAAGATATTACGCAGTATCTTCTAATATCATCAGATCTTGTAATTAGTAGTCTAAGGATAACATCCAAAAAAAAGATAAATATTTATCTGCAGAAGCTAAAGAGTTATTACTTAATTGAAACAAAACAGCTTTATACGTAAAATGGCAATTTTGTACATTTTGACAAAATGTTACAATAAATATAAGTAAGATATGTTATAAATATGTTACAATATAAATTTGTTAAGATACATTATAGATATATATGTCATGTTATAAATATGTTGTGTTACAGATGAGTTATGTTATACGTGTTTTGTGTTATAGATGTGTTATAAAGATATCATAGATGTTATAGATGTTTAAATATATAAGAAAGTATATACAAAGTGTTTAAACAGAAAAACATAGTAAAATATCAAAACCCCCCCGTGGACGCCACCTTGACGTGGTGGGGGGGCTTGTGTGCCTTGATGAAGTGCAGAGCTGTGCCGGCGGGGGTTTCGGCCCCTGGCAGGTTCTACCATGCCGGAGAGATCTGCACCGAGAGAGGCCAGACTAAGAACGTCCTTATTCACTCTCAGAGGGGCAGCTGCCTCCGAGTTTCATATAGGGACCGGAGGGCCGCACTGGTACTAGTACCAGTGCGATCCAAAGGACCCTACAGCGTGGGCAGAACGGGCTCGTGAGCCGGGTGAAGGCAACCGTTCTAGGGGAAGGAAAACCCTGACTGCAAACCCGTACTTGTCAGGACGTATAACCTGACACGATTGCGAGGGGCCAGGGTGCTTCGGCATCCTGGTACAGGGGGCTCAGGCATCCCCGGCAGACCCTAGCCTACTGCACCGTAACCCTAGGTCATGTCTCTGGGGCCGGGGGTCTTGCCTTAATCGGCCGGACCGCGAGGCAGGTCCTCTATAAAATACCACGTAATCCTACGGTTGAGGCATGCCACGCTTATGCGATGAATGGCAGGTGCGTGACCTGTCGCTAGTGATTTCTCACCTTGGGCACCTGGCGAACCCAGGGGACACGCTAGCCTTACTCCTGGTAATGCGGGGGCTCTACCCGGGGTCGACACCCACTTCCCGCCGTACTCGTGGGACCAAGAATGGACTCTCATTTATTAAAACAAAAAAAACCCAAAGCCTTCGGGCTCAGAGCCTTCGGGCTCAAAGGTCCTAATGGACGGGCGTAGCAGCCCGTCCATGGATCGACCATCCCTTGTGGGTGATTTTTTAGTAGGGAAGGGGGGTTTAGAGGTGGAGAAAGTCCGCCAGGCGGAAGCCTCCTCCCCTCCCCCCGGGGAGGATGAGCATGCGGACTCCAGAGAGCCAGCCCCTGGAGGGCCGCCTATTAACGAGGACCGACCACCGTCCTCAAACCGGCGCCTCCCTGACCGCGGGGATGGCGCGGTGAGCCCGCCGGGTAGGCTGACGCGGGCGGCCATCCAACGTGGGAGCACCAAGTCCCTGGTGTCCGCGGGTAAAACCGCGGCACCAGGGGCCAAAAGACCAGGCCCTCTCTGCTCAAAGCAGGGGGAAGGGAAATCTTCTCCCAAGAGCAAGGAGATTAAGGAGGGGGTAGACGGGGCTGCGGGAGCGTCGGGGCGAGTCACCGGTCCGGTGATAAGCTCCGACGTAATTCTTTCGCAGGGAAGTAAAATCTGTCTCCAGGGCCTTGGAAGGACTGCTGCAGGACCAAGAGTGGGACCGGGCAGAAGCGGCCCCCCTTAGCCAGAACACCGGCGGAGGAGGAAGGAAGAGGATGCGGGAGGCCGCCAACACAAGCGGCAGCTCCTCCGGGAGGGAGTCTCCCGCCCTGGAGCCAGTAAAGAAGAGACCGGGTCGGCGACCCACCACTGGGGAAGGGGCGGGGGCAAGGAAGAAAAGGGAAATGGAGAGGAAGAAGGAGGAAGAGAGCCAAAGACTGGAGGAGGATGTCCGGTTACTCCTCGACACGGGAATGCTGAGGTCCCTTGAGGACAAGCGCCCGGTCGAGGAGGTGTTCCGCGATAACGCCACTATCACGCTCCTTAGAGAGGCCAGGGTGACCGAACTAGCCTCGGAGGTGGGTCGAGTCTTGGGCGCGGTCCGATTGGTCGCACGGAGGTCCCGCACGTTGAAGGGGACCTTCGTGGGACTATTGAACCGCGCTGTGGCCACCTCCGAGGCCGTGATGGCCACTCTGCTGGCGCGCACAGCAGAGCAGGACTGCAGAGGAGGGGAGGCCTCCGAGACGAAAAGGGAGGCAGAAGAGCTCCGGATGGAGCTGAAGAAGTTGCGCGTGGAGAATAGGAAGTTGGGCGAGGAGTTGGAGGCTATGAAGGCCTCCACCTCCTCGGTCCCCGCCATTCTTCCCTCATTGCTCCCCAGGGGAAGGAAGTTGACGTACGCGGAGGCGGCGGGGGGATCAACGACGTCAACAAGCACGTCGGCAGAGGAGGAGGAAGAGAGAACAAGGAAGGAGGATAGGAGGGGGAAGAAAAAGAAGAGGAGGAGGGAAACCAACCCTTCCCCCCCTCCCCCTCCTTCGAAGGGGAAGGATGTGGAAGTGGGGGTGGAGATCCCGTCGTATGACAATAACCCCCCCGAGCACCCCCCTCCACCTACGTGGAGGCCAAGCAAAGCTAAGGAGGAGCTGGACGCCGCCATGGCCGTCTCGGCCCATACTTGCGGCCACGGGGAGGAACTCCGCCGAATGAGGGCGGAGCTCGACTCCCTAATGGCGGCGAGTGGAGGGGGCCGGGCGGCTGTGGCGGTGGCAACGGCTCCGGCAACGGCCACGACCCAAGTGGACACCCGGGCACCACGGACAACGGCGGACCCGGAGAGATCCAAGGAGGGAAGAAGAAAGGAGACGGAAGAGGCAGAACAAGAGGAAAAAGGAGAGGGACAAGAAAATGAAGGAGGAAGAGAAAAGGGCCCGGGAGAGCGGGAAAGGAACACCGGCTAGGGAGCTCTTAGAAGCGATCCGACGGCCAACCAAACCCCAGCAGGAGCCAGAGGGGACATCTGAGCCCGCGTGGTCCCAAGTGGTGGGAAGGAAGGCGAGACGGGGGAAGGATGGGAGAACCTCCTCTTCCCCTGCCGCCCCCCCACCTAAACAAAAGGAGCCCGGGAGGGGAAACCGGCAATGGCGACAGGCAGACCAAAGCCGCCGCTTTCGGCGGCTGTCACCATCACGTGCCCCGACGGTAAATATGAGGAATTTATGATTGAGGCCAGGCGCCGAATCAGGCCGGCGGATCTGGGGATTAAATCTTCCCTGAGGGTCCGCCGGGCCCTGAATGGAGCAATGCTCGTGGAGGTGCCTGGCCTCAACGTCGGGGCATCCGCCGACCGGCTTGCGGAGGAACTCCGCAAGCTGGCGGCGGAGAAAGGCCCTGGTTATCGCATCCAGAGACCGGCTAAATTCGCTGCATTGCGATTAGCCGGCCTGGATGCGACGACTGGGGCCGATGAGGTGACGGCCGCCGTGGCCCTCGCTGGGGGATGCTCGCCGGAGGAAGTTTCCTCTGGCGGGATGAGCATCTCCCAGCGAGGAATAGGTGCGATGGTGATGCGGTGTCCACTGGCGGCGGCCGCTAAGGTCGCCGCCGCGGAGCGGGTTCCAGTAGGCTGGACCCGCGCCGGGGTGACGGCGCTGCCCGCTCGTGCGACGATATGTTTCCGTTGTTTGGAACGGGGACACGTGCGCGAGCGGTGCATGAGCGCCATCGACCGCAGTGGTACTTGTTACCGCTGCGGTAACCCCGGCCACCGCGCCAAGGGGTGCACCGCGGCGGTGCGCTGCCTGGTGTGCGCAGAGGCGGGCAGGCCCTCTGGTCACAAGTTCGGAGGGCCTGCCTGCAAACCCCCTCCCGGGAGGAAAAGGGAGGGAAGGAAGAAAGAGGGAGAGAGGCATAAGGGGAAGGAGACTACTAGCGGGGGGAGGCCCGAACCCCCACCGCCGGGGGAGAACCGGATCCCACTAAGCCCGAGGAAGGGAAGAGAAAGGCCCCCCCTCCACTGAAGGAAGAAGGAGCTACAAGGGCTCCGACCCCCTCACAGGTGGAAGTCCAGGAGGAAGGTGTGCTCACGGGTGATCTCATCCATCTGAATTGGGAACCGGAGACCATCGAGGACCTAGCACCTTTGCCGAGAAGGAAAAGAAGAGGGGAAAAGGAGGAGGCCCACAGGGACGAAGATGACCCGAAGGTAAGGAGGGTGGAGCCCCCGGGCACACCCCCAACAACTGTAGATAAAAGGGAGTCGGAGGGAGCGCTGCCCCTGACTCCCCTTCTGGTTGGTCCCCCCTCGTACTCCCGAGAGGAGGAGGCCACAAAGGTAGGGACCCCCCATGTCTCCGCGGAGACGCACGCACTGGAAGCCACCGAGGCCAGAGCCTCCTCCTGTGAGATCGGAACGGCGTTGCCGCCCGGGGTCTCGCAGGAGGAGGTGGAAGTAGGCAGCCCGGAGGAGGCGTGAAAGGCTTAGCCTTCACGCTACTCCGGGCCCTACAGGCCAATCTCGACCGCGGCGCCCGGGCTCAGGATCTCGGCTTGCAGAGAATGGCTGAGCTGGGCGCCGGGCTGGGGGTGATTGCCGAGCCGTACTGGGTGCCGGTACCAGGTCCGAACTGGTTCGGCAGCCCGGACGGCTCGGTGGCCATGGTGGCGAACCCTGCGGCGGGGACCCCTCCCTGTACTTTTAGGGAGAACGGGTCCTCGTACGTGGCGGTCGATTAGGGGCCCATCACTGTGGTGGGGGTGTATCTCCTCTACCGCAGGAATGAAGCCGGTCTCGGGGAGCTCGCCCCAGTGAAGAGGGTCCTCGACAAGATCGGGGAAGTGGTACGTAGGTGCCATCCCCGACCAGTCATAATTGCCGGGGACTTCAACGCCCACTCGGAAGGGTGGGGTTGCAGTCCCCGGCAAAGGGACTCTCGGGGCGAGTCCGTGATCGGCTGGGCAGCGGGGCTAGGCCTCCTGTTAATGAACAGTGGCTCAACCAGCACCTGTGTGCGGCCGAGGGGGAGTTCAGTCATAGATTTGACCTGGGCCACCCCCTCGGCCGCTGGGATGTTCCACGAATGGAGGGTGGAGGCGGAGGGCGAATCGCTGTCTGATCATAGACATATAGCGTGGGCCCTCCGCCTCCCCAAACCCACACAGGTGCTGGCCCGCTGCCCAGGGGAGGGGAACTTTCCCCTCCCCAAAAGATGGGCCCTTAATCGATTCGATTCGGACAGGTTTCGGGCGGCCGTCCTTGCGGCCACCTGGCACCTAGATGTGGGGCCAGGTGAGTGGGACCCCAGTCCCGCGGACGGGGCTGAGGAAATAGTGGGCATCGTGGCGTCGGCATGCGACGTCGCGATGCCCCACTCCCACCCCCGCCGGCGCCGGGCCATGTACTGGTGGACGGAGGAGCTGGAGACACTCCGGGACTCCTCCGTCCGAGCCAGACGGTTGTATTACCGGGCCCGGCGACGAGGCGGGGATGCCGCGAGGACAAGAGAGGGCTACCTGCAAGCCAGGAAAGCTCTCAAGGTCGCCATCATCGAGGCCAAGCGAGCGGCCTGGGAGCAGATGGTGAGCTCCCTGGACGACGATCCGTGGGGGCGCCCATACAAAAGGGTCATGGGAAAGATCCGTCCATGGGCGCCCCCACCAACGGAGACGTTGGACCGCCAGACCCTCGAAGGGTTCCTGGACGCCCTCTTTCCGAGGGCAGAAGGGGGCCCCCCATGATCCGACCCCCCATTGGGGGAGGGTGATTGGGACGAGGGTCTGGCGGTGAGTCCAGAGGACTTCACCGCGGCCAGGAAAAGGCTCGGGGCCAAGGGGAAAGCCCCTGGCCCCGACGGAATTCCTGGCCGAGCCTGGGCCCTCGCCCTCGGCGAGGGAAACCTGTCCGAAGCCACGCGCAGGGTATTCAGCGGGTGCCTCAAGGAGGGGGTATTCCCCCCAGAGTAGAGGAGGGCCAAATTGGTCCTCCTCCCCAAGGAGGGCAAAGTACCCGGAAGTGCGTCGGCCTACAGGCCGATATGCCTGCTGGACGAGGTGGGCAAGATGCTGGAGCGCATCGTTGCAGACCGCCTCGTCCAGCATCTGTCCTCGGAGGGGCCGGATCTCCACGACCGCCAATACGGGTTCAGGCCCGGAAGATCGACGTTGGATGCTATCCAATGCATCCGGGACCTGGCCCAGGCGGTTGTGGAGGAAGAGAGCGAGGTGTTGTTGGCGGTTTCGTTGGACATAACAAATGCTTTCAACACTCTGCCCTGGCCGGAGATTGGGCGGGCCCTCGAACACCATGGGGTGCCCGCCTATCTCCGGCGAATAATTTCGGCCTACTTCGGGGGCAGGGACCTCGCCTTCCCGGTGGAGGGCGGGGTCCAAGGCCGGCGCGCTATGGAGCGCGGTGTTCCGCAGGGGTCGGTTCTCGGCCCCCTGCTATGGAACATCACATTCGACCGGGTGCTGCGCACTCCGCTTCCCCCCGGTTGCCACGTCGTCTGCTATGCGGACGACACGTTAGTGGTAGCCGGGGGGGAGAGCTGGGAGGAAGCCCGCCTCCTAGCGGAGACGGCACTGGTGTCGGTGGTGAGTACCATCAGAGACCTGGGTCTCAAGGTGGCGCCCCAAAAGACACAAGCCTTGTTCTTTCACGGCCGGGGTCGGAGGGTGCCGCCAGGGACCCGGGTACTCGTAGATGGAGTCCACGTCCGCGTCGGGCCGACGATGAGATATCTCGGCCTGACGCTGGACAGTCGGTGGAGCTTCGGACCCCACTTTGGGGAACTGGCCCCCAGGGTGCACAAGGTAGGTCTGGCGGTGGCCAACCTGACGCGCAACCAAGGGGGCCCAGGATGGAGGGCTCGCCGCCTGTACGTCACGGCGGTGCTCTCGATCGCCCTGTACGGGGCGCCCATCTGGGCGCCACAGCTGGGGGCCTGCCGCAGAGGCAAGTGCGCACTGCGGCAGGCCATGAGGCCCGTGCTCATCAGGGCGATTCGGGGGTACCGGACCGTGTCGTTCATGGCGGCGACCACCCTGGCCGGCGTCCCCCCTGTGGAGCTCCTAGCCGAGGAGCAGCATCTCCTATATTGGAGAGTGAAGGAGCTCCGCAGGGAGGGAACAGTGTCGGTCAGGGCCCTGAGGGGTCTGAGGCTCCAGGCCGAGGCCCGGATCCGGGAGAGATGGGCGGACCTATTGTCCGACCCCCGGGGTCCCGGGCCAGCGACGGCCGCGGCTGTCCGCCCCTGCCTGTCCGAGTTGACGGGTAGGAAGGGACGTGGACTATCCTTCCGTCTGGCGCAGGTGCTGACCGGGCACGGGTGCTTCGGTCGGTACCTGCGTCGGATAAGGAAGGAGCTCACCACTCGATGCCACCACTACCCCGCGGCGGAGAACACGGCGCACCACACCCTGGTCGCGTGCCCTGCATGGGCCGGGGAGCGCCGTGTCCTCTGCGGGGCGGTGGGATGCCGCGAGGGGGAGCTCTCGCTCCCGCACATGGTCAAAGCCATGTGCGGGAGCGAGGAGGCGTGGACAGCGGCGGTCTCCTTCTGTGAGACAGTAATGTCCCAGAAGGAGACCGCCGAGTGGTGGCGAAGACCGTACCGGGGCTGCGGGGAGCAGCTCCTGGGCGGAAAACGCCCCCAGGGGGCGAGGGACGCGACAGCGGGCCCGGGGCAGCGCCGGCCGAGGGGGGCTCACAGACCCGCGAGGGTAGGGAGTCCCCTCGGCCGCCCCGGGCCCGCCACCGGTCGCAAGGGGGGGAGTAGGGGGGCGGCGAGACGCCTTCCCTACCTTCCCCCCCGAGCGACCGGACAAGTAGGGACAGGGGGGAGCGGTGCCCCGGTTGGGGCGGGGCCCGCTCCCCTACAAATCCTCCCCTCCCTGACTAGCAGGGAGTGGGGGTAAGGAGGGAGGGCGGATGTCCTCTCCCTCCTTGACAGGAGACACCAGAAGGCCAACCGGCGGGGGGTAACCCTCGTCGGGGACCGCGCCCTGGATTCCCTTCGTGGAACAGGGCGCGGTACACAGATGGCGAGGGGCTCCCGGAAGGGAGCCCTGGGGCCGGGGCGTTGGGGAGGGAATACGGGAGTAGTTCCCCCGACTCCCCTCCTCACGGTCCGACAGGTAGACATCCCGCAGGGGTTTTAGTCGGTAAGAGTCCGACATAACCCCCTTGCCCTCAAGGGGAGGGGGTATCCATGATGGATTTCCCCTGCGTGACCAAAAAAAGAAAGTAAAATATCAAAACAACAAGACACAAAAAGTATGAAAAATAATATAAAATTATAAAAAATAATATTGCAAAATATTATTTAATTACAAAAAAGACAAAAATATATTAAACATTTTAGCGCATGACGAAATCGTCAGAATAAAAAGAGATAAGTATTACCATCATTAATACAGCCAGTTCACACGATTGACTTTAATCCGTTATTTTTATCTGTGTACTGACTTGATATGCTGTCATCTATATCAGGATTTTACGTTAAACTATGTAATTCATAAATAATCCAGCAATATATGTTATATATATATGCAATACATATACGCAAACTCATTAGTAGAATACATTGATAATGTGGGGATATTAGATAGGTATAAAATATATCGGGCCACTGCAGATCCTCTCCACTGGCAAAAACTGAGAATTTCGATCTTACATATGTATCTCGGAGGCCTTAAAAGCCCGTATAAACTTTGTCCGATCCAAAAATATTCGACATTTTACAGGTTTTATACGTTTGACAAATTTGCGCGTCCGCCATTTTGAATTGAGGGCCTAATTTAAAAAACGGGCTCGATACGATTGTAGAGCAATTCATCGCGAGTAAATTAAGAAAAAAAAGCATAGAAATCGGTTAAGAATTACGCCGTCTAGCGATTTTTGTCCACGAAAAGACCCATTTGACCCGCTATGCGGCGGCGAGCGTTCGGATCCCACCGACGACTGCTGCTTTACTTCATGGTTTTTTTCTTTTTTTTCTTTAATTTTCGACATATAGTAATACGTTATTAATAATTATTTATTTATTTTTTAATTTATTTCGTTTTTATATAAAAAAATAAGGACATTTCGGGATATTTGAACGCAATATGAAATAAAAAATATATAAATCGTATGAACTGATTATACCATGGTATATTTTTCAAGCAACGTATAAATTTTATACATGTCAAAATCAAATACAAACTTTATAAATGTCTACATATTGTAAAATGTTTCCATCGCTTTGCAGTGTTGTGGATGAAAATTCATGTAAAAACATTGGGAATAAAACTTTGTCGCACCACGAACATTTTATAAATGAATTATGTTGTTCACATACGCATTTTTTATTATAAATATTTTGAGGAAAGCACAGTTGGTTAACATTTAAAAACATTTCTCTTTCGTCAGCTAATTTGGACACATACCATGCATATTGAAGCATACATTTAAATCCAAGATTTAAATCCAAGATT